ATTATGGGATACATAGTCACATGAAGAATACCAATTAGTTAATAAGTAGACTTTACATTAAAAGGGTGCCTTATAATGTCTTTACCAGAAAATATCATCATAAACTTGTGGTGGAACGCTTCTACGAAGAAAATACGATTTGTGAAAAATAAACATTATTGTACTCGTTTTGTTTAACTGTACCAAGAACACTTCTTGCGCGCAACGTTCTCTTTGCATTGCTGCCATTTTTCTTAACTTGCTGCTCCCTATGTAATGCCTACATTCTCCTTCAATAAAATACTAAAACATGGATTTATTTTGATTTAAATGACGGGATAGTATGGAACATTTAGTGGTGATCATAGTCAATCTGGTATCCCTCACCACTAAAAACTGCTAATTTATTTTGCTGAATAAGTAAAACTTAAAACCTAATATTAAAAGTCATTATGTACTCACTAGCTACAAATTTCGAGAGGAAATTCCTGAAGTTCTAGTGAAAGTTTAGCCATATCGGATGTGAGGCAGTTACTCAGTAATGGGCTGCTATACTGCATAAACTAAGCCTAATAACTTTATGAATTAATGACATACTTTCCCTAAAAATCCGAAATATTAAATCATATAAAGAGTTATAAATTAAAATTAATGTTCTAAAATATGTGTAATAAGACTCGGGTTGTCATTAAAAAGTGTATTATTCCGTTATATCATGAAAATGTTTATTACTCTAATGTGGATATAACCGTATGTGCTGAAACAGTAGGTAGTTTAACTGGTAAATTTGAATACATAGAGTTCAGTAAAGTTTGTTATGAATTTGAAAACAATACACTGATTCATATTAATTCCAAAACAATATTTTCTTCCCTTTGAAACTCTGATGTATTATCAATGTACAAAACATAATGTCTTATTCTTCCTCTTTCTCTCTCCACATATATATATATATATATATATATATATATATATATATATATATATATATATATATATATATATATATATATATATATATTGCACATTATATTACATTCCATTGGTTACGTTTTTCTCGTTTCATTTGGAATGTTTTGCAATTATGATGGATGATATTAGAATAAATAACTTGATAGGAAAGAAGTGTCTATAAATGTTAACATTATAATATACTGAAGAAAATATTTTTCCTTTTTATTGATAAATGAAAAACAAATCCTAAACACTATTCTCGCTACATGTTTTTCTTTAAGTGATAAAGTAATATTACGTATCAGGTTCTCAGTCTAAATGCTCTCTCCTCATTCGGTTCTTAACTGTGTCTATCTATATGTTCAACGTTCACTTATAAGTCGTACACAGGACCTTTGATTGTGTACCCGTTTATTCAGTGAGTGAGCACTGGGTATTAACGTAATTTTTTAAAATAAAGGTTTCACTTTAAGAGCTTACATTTTCCATCCTTATGTTCCCCTTCTTATACGTCGAGTTTCGCTATAATGACATTCTCAATAGAAGATAGTTTCAGCTGATCTCATCATTTTTATCTTAAATTACAGAATATAAAACAGCAAGTTCCATGATCGTCGGGATACCTTAATAAGGTCCTGAAAATTCACGGAAAAACTGAGGACATTTCATCCACTGAGCATATGCTACGATGTCACACTGACTAAATGACTTCCTGCTCTGTTACTAAGATAGCATAGTTCCAGAAGTTTCTGGAGGTTGAAAGTTACTCATAAACATAAACACAGTTATTTTCTGAACATAGATGGACCTCATGGTAAAGCCTGTTATTAATTCGCCCTACATTTAGGGCTGGCCTGAAAGAGGATTCGGAGGAAGTCAGTATCAAGAGTTCCAGCAACAGACATGTGATAATCTTCAACTTTGTTAAAGATTATCAGGTGGTTTAAACATGCTTAAACTATTCGGGTATCATCAAATGAAGACGAAATAATACTGACATCATGTACCATAATGGAAGACACTAATGCACCTACTTGTAGGGAGAGATATCTTGAACTGAATACTTTATTACTAGTTGAATATATATTCGAATAAATCTTGTTTAGCAACTGATAAACCTTGAGATACGTAAAACAATCCCATTTCGTTGGCTATCGTGTAAGTAATCTGAGTATACTTATTTCGAGAGGTAATTTTATTATTTTTCGATAGTCTATGAAAACATCGAAATGTACAAAGATGAAAATAATGAAATCGTTTAACAATAAATCAATTATACGAACTACGAATCAAAACGGGGCATAGTTTTTCAACATATATTAGCCGCACAATTATAAGGTCAAACTTAATGATCAGATAATGTGTTCTAAACCAAAACTTTTTACGGGGTTTGATTTGACTGAAAGCACCCATGAGTGTTTAAAATAGTCATTTTGGTTGCACAGTTGGATGCAGAGTTAGTATGTGAATGTGGCGACTCAGTTGACGAGATAGTGAGTAGTCGTCGACTGAGATGGTTTAGACATGTATTACACATGTTCAACTTAACCCTACTTCGACTCGCGAAGTTTACCGGTGTTGGTAGAAAGCTAGAAGTAACCAAACTAAGGCATGGAATTATTCCATGAAGTTATCGGCTGTTGGTTTGAATAGTATTGGTGGGAGTAGAAAACTCGATTGGGAAATGGTTGTTGGAAATAATATATTTGATGATTCTGAATTGGCCGTAATGGTCAAATGACTTCATTTTTTGTTGTAAAATATTTATGTCTTCAAATAAGCGCGTTTTCTCTTCTGGAATTACATGTGTCAAGTATTTCCTAGTAATTTCGCATGTCTTAGTAACTGCGTCTCGCAGTCCTGATACAATTTGGCAAGATGACCAACTGCTAGATTCCACGTTGTTTATGACTGACTGAACTCTCGAGCAGAACATTTCAAGAACTAACTACATAATTCAAAACGTCATAGTGACAATGGTTAGGTCAAATTACTGAGTTAACTAATGTAAAGATAGTATTCACATGGAATCATTAAAATTGAAGTAGGTTTACTGATTAACAGTTTTCAATACTTAACAATGAATATGATTTTATTGAAGGTGTCAATGCATAAACAAACAAACAACTATCATATTTTAGCTGATGAAATTGTTACAACATTCATAACGTGAAATACTATTCCTATGTTCGTGATATTGTTCAAAAGAATCATCTAGATACGTAAGATACTTTAAAGGTTGTCTGCAAATTAGTAAGTTTGAGAGAGATGTAAGTTATTGATTAAATCCTACAAGTATATGAAAGGATAACTTTCAAGCAATAGAAGATCGAGTTTCGCATAGTTCCGTTAGATTAGCCCAAGTTTCCGCCAGAATAATATATTTTTATGTAATATTTCTATATATTAAGATATAAAAATTTAGTTCGTAGAGAACAACCGTGGTGTCATATCATACTAATTTTGATTATTCGTGTTCTGCTTTGGAAAATGAAACACTTCAATCATTACCAACATACGACGAAACGTGGGCTGAATACTGTTCAGTAAGTAATATCACACTTTTCGTTAAAAAAAAGAATTCATTTGAAATTAGCAAACAAACTTTCAAATGTCTTGAAACATATCGTCAACCGTTAATCTTACTATTTATTATTCCAGACGGTGTAATATGAGAATGCTTGCGATACGCAGTAAACAATATGATTTGTTGATTACGTTGAATATCTCATCTATTTACGGTTACGAAAAAAGAATAATTAAAATTTCATACTCTATTTGATGATTTACATGTAATTCTGATGTTATGGTTTCTTTCAAACACCAAAAATTTTCTAATATTTATTAATGTTTCATACAGACTGAATACAGGTCAATGGTGAAGTTCGCTTTGAGCAACACTCTGAGAGTGAGATCCGTGATACTACCTGTTTTCGAAGAACAAGGTAGGTGGAATGGGTTTTGAAACTCGAACGTAGTTGATGAAGGCCGAATACCATTTAGCCAACGCTTCCCTGTTTAGCCTACTAGATCACTACTTTTGATGAAATGCAATGTTAGTACTTTACAAGCAGTTGGTTATTAGAGCTTTTATTTTTAGTTATGATAGTCAATAGAGGCGGTAATCATTCATTTAGTGTGTCGATCATTCAATATCCTAAAATTGTTTTTAATAGATAACTGGTTTTCAGTTGAATCAAATGTGGCCACAGATCAAACTCCTAGTCTTTAAAACTTCAATGAAAATAATTTGAAAGGCTGTAAATGAAAAAAAGGCAGTTCAGTCGTGGAATGGCATATTCGGTTCTTACTCATCGCTCATGAATGAAGTCTTTATTTTGTAGAACTACGTTGTGATATCAGTTGTTGATTTATTTGTCATAAATTTTAGACTTTTTATTGACATTCTTAAAGTTGGACAAATCGAAATCATCGAATTGTAAACTTTATACCTAATGATAATAAATTCGATTAAGACAAGAAAAAAGAATTTATTCCAATTTGAAACGGTTTGGATTATTCAATTGTTGATATTTTCAACGGAAATTTGATCTTGATTAGTATATGAGTATCCTGTGTTGATTGCTTCGATGTAGGCATTATGAAACAAGTTAACGTAGAATAGATGTAAAATAGTTGGCTGTGAATTACAAGAAGCCTGTTTCGTCAGATGGATGTACCTGCACGACGGACTCCATCATCTATGTTGTAACAATAAAACAAGTCTGTACAATAACCTCATTGCCATAATATAGCAAGATTGGTAATATACACGATCAAAAATCTCCTAGGATGATGATATTTATTAAAAGACTAATTATTCAGATGTTTTTCTTCACATTCTTGTGTCGGATTAGTCCAAAGCGAATGTAAATACATCCTAACAGTCAATCAACAGAGACGATTGTACAGTTTAATGATAATAATGAGTAAATCCAAAAGAAAAAATTTATTTACAACACTATCTATCCAATATTTTCCTTTTATCATCATCATCTAAAAATGACAAATAACAGTTAACATATACACATATACAAATATTCTTATAATTCGATTTGATCATTAGATCAGAAAAAATATAAAAAAAAGACAATTATTCACAGAATCACTAGATAAATAAATGCCCCCATTCAATTCTTCCAATCTCTTGATATTTTCTCTTTGAAAATATAATATGCTGAGAGATGATCCAATTGGTTATGAGTATCATATTCATTGTTTAAACCTTTTAAGATAATAATAATGAAGTTGTGTACAATTAATGTTCAAAAATTCTCATAGAATTCGATAGGAATCAGCAATGAAATTCGAAAAGTACATTTAAATTTATTCAGCACTCGTCTTCAATGGGAAGTAACTGACGGTGCATAAAGTTTTTTAATTTACTGACCTAACCGTTATACTTAATAAACTACACCTAAACTCAATGTTTATCATTAGATCGTTTCATCACTGTAAGGAAAATGTCGATTATGAAGTTATATCAAATAACTCAGTCAGATATTCCTTTGAATTTCATTTTGTAATAAATGATGAATTCTACTGCACTCTCTCTCTGCCTGCTATCTATCCTCCTCCAACGCCGAACAAAAATGTAAAAGTTGTCATTGATTTTGTGTACATCACATTCAAGAAATAATTGCGCAAGATTTATATAAAAGGCGCCGATGCGTGTCTAAACAATCGAAATTTTTAGGCCAATTTAACTTATGTTGTGAACTTGACTTCGTGGGTGATTTTGAGATGTTATCCGTAAACAATCTTGTTCTTGGCAATGCAGCTAAAGAGCACTTTTGTGCGAAGTGATTTCCTAGGGTACTTCTTTTAAAATCAGAAAGACGTAACACAGATTCTGAAACTTTACAGGTACTTAGTGATAACGAGGGAATATGACTACATGAGTTTGTGGAATTGGATGGTTTCATGAAGGTGACTCCAGTGGCGTTCGGATTCCTAGCAAAAACTTTCAGATTGATCGCTACGTTTTTAGCTACCCTTTAAGACAGTTATTTGAGTGGTGTGCTTCAGTAAAGAAAACCCTGTCACAATGTGCCTTATCTACCAACTTCCCGGAAGCGTATTATGTGTTTTACCCTGTCCATTTCAAACGCGAAATTTTCCGGTGGGTAGCTTCATTCCATCATATTAATATGATGTTTCAGTTTCAAAAGTTCAGTTTTTCCGCGTTTGATGTACACGAAAAACATAGGACGGTATATATAAACATAACTTAGTGAAATTAATTTCTGTAGATGTGTCGGCATCTGATTAATTAAGCTATCAATTTCATTGGGACGACTAGCCACATCGGTTGGTCTGAAGGATAGTGGATTTTGTCTGCTGGATATATAAATGTCGGTGATATGTCGACTACAACATTATACGCAAAACTAACTGAATTCAAAAAGTGAAAGATGGATATAAGAACTACTGAGAAGATAGGAGGGAAGCAGATCATGGTTGTTAGAGTATATAAAAAGGAAAAAAACATTTTACGAGAAATTAAGATCATTGTAAAGAATAGACTGTATCAGTTTCTTCCGTACACATAATTCTGGTTTTTGTAGATGTATAACAAGTGCTTCGGCAATGTTTAGAAGATGGTAGCTAACTTGTCTTCGACATCATTTTGTCCACCTTATAGATGATTTTGAACGCGGAATCCGTTTTGATCGGATGACCTGTGCTTACAAGGAGTTTGATTATTGAGCTTATTATTGAATCGTCAGCTCCTCTTCTCAGCTAGGCCCGATAATGTTCTCGAATCCTTTTGGATAAAATGTTTTTTTCTGCTTTCTTGTTTAACAGCCATCTGCTTCCCTTCCATTTTTGTCTCTATGGCCCTTATACCCCCAACTGATTTGTTTCTGTTTCTGTAATACACTAAATTACAGTTCATCACAAATTAAACATTTTATTTTATCACGCTGAGCATGGATTATAATTTCTTCATCAATCTACATGATGAATATTGAAGATTTTAATAACAAAATCACTATCAAGTTCCCTTAATAAAAATAAAGTTTATGTCTTTATTTAATTTGCCTCACTATTTTACCATGTTTAGCGAAATTTTTTTATCATTATTATTATTGTAATTATTATCATGTAGGAAAAAATAAGCATATATATTTACGACTATAAAGCTTGAAAATGGAATTTGCCCCAAAAGAGGATTATTCGTTGAACTAATCTTTTTTTGTTTGTTTTTTTTAATGATGAAAGACATCAACCAGATGTTGATGGATCCATCAAGAGTTTTGTCCGATTATGAACAATCTGTCACACACTTTAACCTGCTTCGACTCTGCGCCTGCTGATCAAGTTCAGTTGCAGCACTATTCATTTAATCCAATTAAGCATTTGTAAAGCAACTATTATAACGACGCTTTGTCTGATTTCGACGATCAAAGAACAATGAGATTAACCTAAATTTCGGTTTGTATTGTGTCTACTTTCAAAGGTGACATCGGAGATAGGAACTAAGAGAACGTGAAAACTTAGTCAACTTTTGAAATTCCAGAGCAAAGTGGTACTCAAAAAAAGATGAAATATTGTTATGGTTGATGTATAGGTAGGTAATTAACATAACTCAAGGGCCCATAATAGTAAATACTTATTGATTATCAAACTCGAGACGAGTAGCGTGTCATTTAAATAATTAAATAGGTCCAGTTTATCAATATGATACACTGATCAATGGACAATCAAATACATGCGACATGGTTTCTGAAATATTTGATATAGTGTGCAGAAATTTTTCCAAACACTCAGATCTAACATAAGTGGAAAATGGGTAACCTGAAAGCGGACTTCTGAAAATTATTGCTTCTATTACGTAAATAGATTATGCATAGTATTTTATCACTAAAACATTCTGGCTAGTCGTATCGTATTCGATTTCAAACAAATCGAGGAACTGTGTCAATAGTTTTATTCCGAATAAGGCCGGGAAAATTAGGGCAGGATAATATTAATCGACAGAAGTTTGTGGTTTCTGATCAAATGCTTACAACCATATATATACATATATATATATATATATATATATATATATATATATATATATGCATCTGACAGCAGCTACTACCTTGAAGTGGTGGCCGGCCTCGCCAATCATGATGATCTAACCGCAAAATATTGGATGTAACACTTGTTACTTTAGGTCCTACTATGTTAGAGAGGTTGTTTGGAAAACAGTAAGGCCAAAACCAACAACTTGAGGTCTGAGCACGAAGTCATACTGCCAACCATATAACAGTGAGAAGTTTAGATAGCCCATCTGCATCGTAGTTGTCCACTGTATTCTGTGGTTCCCCCCAGATGTTGACGTCTTCATAATCCAGTCGGCCACCAGGAGAAAGAGATAAGGTGAGAGTCAGCAACCTTGCCTTACACTGGTCTTCACCTCAAACGAGTCCATCTTCCATGAACGACTTTGCAGTTTAATCCATCATAAGAATTCCGTATGAAACTGTAGTGTTGAAGAAGCCTTCATAGTGTTGTCCTGCACACACTACAATGTTTGTTACCCTGATTCCTTCGGTTATCGATCCTAATTACATCTCATTATATTACACCTGATTGTTACACTATTACATATATAGTTGTTAGTAGCTGATGAAAAACCACGAAATGCAGTGAATTCATATCATTCTCCCTTGATTGTTGTCCTGGCCTTATTTATATTCATAAAATAAACAAACTGCATGAAATTCTTTTTTTGTTAACGAACACCACTCACTGGATACTGTCTATCGACTAGCACTTCTGTCATTTCGCTCATAAAACTATGAAAAGCCTTCTTCATAACAAAATGAATATATATTTACATAATGGATAACAATGTCGATTTCCAACAAGTTAGCTACAGTGTCGAAGTGATTAATATAGTCTCTTTTAGAACGGGAATGTGAACACAATCATTTGAATGTGCATAATTCACCTAAAAGTATGGCATATATTTAGTCAAACCTCTAATAATCAAAAGGTTAACTTGTAGTATAGATAGTAACGTTAACTCAAGAGTCCAGTAATATTAGTTAGAATTAATTTTTTTATTGAAAATAAAAGTAGTAATTTGAGATGAGCGCTAGCAACGTTTCTAAATCTCGACTTTTTAAGTTCACTATAGTGTTAAAAGACAATGACTAACCTTTTTGGTTCCATATTTCTCCTTTGATCTTGTACTGGTGGTAAACTTGGTCCTTGTTTGGGACCTAGTGAATGAGCTAATCGTTTTAGTTCGCCAACAGAAATAGAGGGCATTGACTTTGATACTTGTGGAAGAGCCTCTGGGTTTGTTGAAGATTTTTTTCTATGTTCTTTACTAGTTACAACGCGTGGTATAAAGGAATTGAATGCGTAGGGCTTCGATGTTTTGACAGAATCTGAAGAAACTTTGTTGACTAACGACGATGTATTATTTTTTGAAATATTTTCTAGGTACGGTCGACAACTTAAAGCCTGTTGAACAGGAAGGGGTATTGAATGCCTAAACAGAAAAAAAGGTTATTTTTGATAATTTAAAGGTTATGAGTGAAGCTTTCATGCTTGTTTATTATCTGAATTGAAATATATTAGGAGAGAGTTGATTGCTGCTGTTTTAATCTGGGACTTTGTCACGTAATTGGATAATACGGAAGCGACAGTGAACGCCCGTAATTTTACTCCGATACTATGGCTGCAATTCTGTCAACCCAGACCCCAACTATTGGAAAGACCAAAGTTAGCCTAAAAAGAATATACATCTCATGGAAAAACAGCATTCTCAACACAAACATTTTTTTCCAGTAATCAATAATTAAATTTAAATAATCATCAAACAAATTTCATTGCGTGAAATAATTATCAGAATACAATAGAGAATAACATACTGAATTAATTAGTTATAGAATTTGTTAAAATATAGTCAGATGTTAACTGAGTGATCATTATCTCAGATTAGTCAGTAATCTTACTCTTACTCGCCTCTTAGCATATTTTCAACAACTAGCTTAAATCAAGCTTGCAACAGGACATCAGATTCCTTGATTGATACCATATATTATATATGAAGGTATAGAAATATACAGTAATAGGATAATGTATAGATAACTTACAGTACTCTTTATAAAGCGGGCATTAGAGTCAGAAAATATGTGCATGATATATTATGATACGTCCTGAGGACTCGAAATTTTGTAAATGGTAAGTGCATGTGATTGACCAAGAAATTGTTTGGACTTATAAGAAACGAGATATAAACCACTGATAACTTGATTTTGTAAGGGATATATATGGATGAGTATAAAGACATTTCCGATTCGGTTTAGTCAGTAAACTTTTTCATACTCAGTCTTTTAACTCGAGTATCCGATCGGTCTCGTGTAAAAATAGATTGCGTATTGGTATCAAGTCACACACCGCATGTCACCACAATATCAATACCGGAGATTTAAATTATAACACTGAAAATTATTTCTAGTTACACAGATCTTTGGAGAGACCCTTTGAAACAGCAAATAAGGGCTGTTTTCATACACCGGAAGATATGAAAGCACCAAAAACGTTAGCATCGACAAGATGTTTATTTGACGGTAAAACGTCTGATAATCAATAACTCTGTAAGCGTAGTGCTCTATCTTCGGCTTGTTAAGCACGGACAAAGATATTAATTAGATACCATTGCATGACCACTGTTCTCGTTGAATGTTTCCTTGAATCCTGTGCGTCAACTCAATGGGGGTAACTCTTAGGTAGAATGTTGTACTTTCCTATACACAGAGTGGTATGTTATAAGGAAATTAAAAACAGAGTATGATATCTCACCTACAAACGACTTGGTCTGTAATTGTGATAATGGAGCATTTTTGTTAGTAATGTTGAGTTGATGCTGAAATATTAGTGACTGTTAGCTTTCAAAACTTATGAAGGAATATTCTGTCATCAAAAAGAATACGATCAAAGTTACAACAAAAATGAGTATTTCCATAAAAAGAAAACCAGTAATAATACTGTTACGACAATAAAAAAAGATGTGGGAATAAAATAATAAAACCTAAACTGTACAATAACTTACTTAGGAACGACTGATAGATCAAGAGGTTTAGAAGTAGATGGGTGATTAGTAGTAACAGCAGTAGGAAAAGAAGCATTTAAATTACAGACTGTATGATGTTCGTCGACGAATGTAATTCCTAGTTTCTTCCAATAAAGACGAGAGTCACTTAAAGCATCATATGATGGACAGGTTTGAGACTCATTAGAATTCAGTGTGTTTTCTTGTGACACCGGCAGAATAGTTATGTTCTGACTAGTTGGTATTTCTAATTTTACAGATTCCAATAAATCAGATGTTGCTGGTGTTGATGGTACAGATGATGATGAGGGAGCTGAAGAATCTGGCTCTGATGTTTGGCAATTAGCGGAGAACTTCTGAAGGTATTCATATTCTGCATAGAAATAATGTATAGAAAGGCAATAGGCAATACATATATATAGCTTATACTAAACACAACTCTAATGATTATAAATATTTGAATAGTCTACAGGAAGTGTTACTCAATCAGTATCAGTGAAATTTAAATAAATATATTTTGTTGATATTGGGTCGGTAGTATAGTATGGTATAATTAGTCTAAAGTTGATCTCAAACAGCAAGTCGTAGTGAAAGATAATTCACTGAAATAAACAAAAACTACTAAAAAGTGTACGGCTTAATCGCTAAATAATTCTACATGAGTCAGTCAGTCGGTTACAACGTAGAACTTCGTACGTCCGTACATTAGTTCAGGTTGCTATACCCCATTAGCACAGGCGCAGTTCTCAGTTCAAATCCCATAGTAGAGGTAGTAGAAGTATCAACGGTAATGGAAAAGATTAGGGTTCGAAGATGTCATTCAAGAAGCATAATTCAGTGAGATAAATTTAGAAAGAAAAAGATAGAGGTGATGAGGAATTCGGAAGATTAGAATTTGGTGGGACACAGAGAGTAGATACACCTAAGCCATTGCAAACGATTTTGAGCCATGTCGTTCAAGGTCTCTAACCATAGGTTACCATCGTCTCGCGGACCCCGACCAGGTAGTCTCCACCTATTAACATGGCTCGGTCCACTTGTCAGTGACTTCATGGATTTCTACCACCTTCCGGTTTAGCCACCCTAGGTTTCTTCCAACCTACTCCTACACCACAAAACAGCTCGTCGAGGTAGTCGGTGGTTCAGCATACGTAACGCATGTCCTAACCACCTCAGTTGATAAAGTTTCACTACTTCATCTAATGATCTGCCATCCTTACCTAGCACTCGTTTCCTAAGAACTCCACTCCTGAAAAGAAAGACGAAGATAATGTTGCTTCTAAAAGCATGTTTATGACAAAATTAAACAAGAATGGAGAAAGTGGATAGCCTGGACGGACACCACTTGAAATAAACTCGGCTTTCATTATGAGACGTCATACCTTCTATAAGTGAAGGTATTCTAACTCCCAGGACAGAGTTTAAATGGTTTGAAGCATTTTTTCGCGGGTTAGTTTTCTACGGGATGGGGCCACCAACCGCAAGTCCAGCCCTCCTTTATGCAGACATGGGACTGGCAGCAGCCCCGGAAGGGCTCCAGGCGGACGTATACAAAGGTGATAGTAATAACAGTGAAAAGATTATAGATAAACTGTTGTTCGAACGACATTGTTAGTTAAATAAGTTAATTGAGGGGCTTAATTAAACACAAACCAACTCAAGTGTAGGTGAGGTGCTATAGTTTTTTTACCCGTTTCTCCACACTAACCGTTCATTCACAACTAAATGGCCCCGGAAATTATGCTAATACAACTTATTACATCAACCAAAAACAGGTAACAATTTCTAGCAGTTTAAAACAATAATTCGAGTTCGTTTAATAATCTTACCCACTTTCCTAGAAACTCTTGCATTTAAATGCCTGCATTCGTATAGCTTTAAACGACACTCGGCCACAGTTTCATATTCAGGTGCATAACAAACGTGTAAAGAACCACCGTAGAAAGAAGAATCATCTAATAAACGCTTGGCATATCTAGATAACATTTAAGGAAAAGTCTTATGAATTTTTACTACGAAAAATAAGCTAGTTATCAAGTTTAATTCCCACAAATAAAAGGAATACGTTCACACCTTGCAGCTTTTAGATTATCATATTTTACTACAAAAACATCAGTAAATGTTTCTTTGTCTGGATAATCAGGGATTTTCATCACACTTTGGACATTTCCATACTGCCTGCACCTATCCTTTAGGGGGTGTTCCAGGTCTAGTGATGGGACTCCAAATATCAGGAGATAACAAGATTCATCAGCAACGGTAAAAACCTGGGAAATAAAGAGCTACAAGTTACCTTGACAGCTTTCTTGCGCCTACTATCTCGATAAGCAGGACGAGTGAAACATGGACCCACTTTAACGTGATGAGGGTACTGTTTGGCCTGGTTTTCAGATTTCATGAAAGTAGAATTTGCAGATGTACTACAAAATAAATTGTTAGTAATGGTAACGATCAAAGCAAATTATTTATTCGGTTTTTAGCGGTTTAAAAAAAACCAGATAGTATGGGATGAAGGATATCATAAGTAATTGAAAGTATACGACATTCATAACTGAAAAACCATAAAGTATCCGGTATTTTGTGAATTTATGCAGCTAGTTTTGTCTTGTGTTTTGCATTCTTCATTTACTCAGTATTTAGAAGTAAACTCTGATTATTAGGCCACAATTTGAATAGCTCCTCATTGCTAATGGCGATGATTGGTATGGACTAAATAGGAACTAGATAAACAATAGTGGGATCTATGTCGCATAGCAGACTCTCTGTGTTAGAAAATGACTACCATTAATTATTTTGAGCATCGTAGCAAACGTAGCTGCCTTTTGGATATGATCATCACTGATTACCATAATCATGTTTTATCAAATAGCTTGATTTTACTGTGCCCAACCGGTGAAACGAAAAGCGGTAAAACTGAGAGCAGCAGATATCATGTTTAAGGATAACCATGCAGCTGACTTACTTTGTTAAGCGGCAATTAAGTGACTCCCACATACAGCCAACATATGCAGTTAGCCTTCTTACGACTGAAGAGGCTAGAAATGTCGAAACTAAACTACGCGTCCTCCTATCTGAGTATTTAGCGTGTAACTTACAGATACACAGTATTACAGAAACAGAAAAATTTCGTGATGAGCCTTAAAGTTATCTTTTAGGCTCTCAGATCGACAAGACCACTGAATTTAATCACTTTAGCGAGAAAATCATTGTCTAGTCTATAGTTGGGTACTTAGCATAAGATCAGTCCTAATAAATAATACATATCCTTCAAACTGTTAAGTGATAAATTCCTGTACATATACATACTTCCATCCCTCGACCTAATTAATTTAGCTTGCGCAAAATTCTATGTTTAATACTACTGACACTTATTTTCAACTCCAGGCCTCATAATATTGTTTTCTGCAGTGTTTGTGTAGTGTGAGTGGTGGCGACTTTCGTATCCACAATAGGCTTTCTGATTTAGCTCACGAAACATCCCGACACATCTTCTAAGTGCATGGAGGCGAATATGGAATGGAGTCAGCTGTCCAATTGTGAGTGAATTAGTTAGCTTTAATGTGATGTAAAATCATTATGGATTACACATAATATCAAATGTCTGGTAGTCGCAATCCACACTTCATATTTAGACATTATTATCGTCTTAATACTCACTAAAATCACGCTTACTCAAGGCTCATCGTAGAAAATTTAGAACTAATGAACGAAGTATTCCACAAACAATTTATTTCCGTAAATTTGTATTAATGTCTGACACATAATTACCTGGTTAGTATACTTTATTATTATATAGACAAATACATTATTTTAGAGAAACAGTGAGAAAATAATCCGAAAAACCTTTCGGTTCAATTCGTTTCTTTACCGAGAGCCCTTGACAATAGCAGAAGAGCGCAGCAACAAGCTGACGACCTTGAGTCACTACCAATCTCCAATATCTTTTCCACGAGCTAGTATTAACCGGTTGATCTCTTGGTGATGGATTCGTTCTTTCGGTACAGTTACAGGTGTTTGGCAGTGTTGAGTGGATGGGGGTCTAGCCACTCGGCTACTTAGTTCAAGTTAGTTGGCAGTTGTTTGTGGTTTGAATGTACCGTGCTTTGAATGAAAACGTTTGGTTCAGGGCAGTTGGGTTTCTGGATACCAGCAGCTATCACTTTACCAGACCAGAGGTCAGTTAGGTGCAATCTGGAGGATAACAAGGAGAAAATTTTAATGCCACTAAGAGGATTTCATAATTAAGTAAATAAATGGACAATGTAGTTTATCAATTTATAGTGTTGATTTTGTGAGAAGACCGAAGTGCAAGCAAGCGAGAGGAAACAGAGATAATAGTCGAGATAAATAAAGTCAGTGATATGAGGATATGGCAATAATAACGACTGGAAAGTTTCGAGGCATGCATCAGATACAACTTGTCCACGAGGGAGATGATAATGTGTATGTATGTGTTTAACAAGTATCTTCTTAAAGCTGTCCACTGAGGGGTATGTAGTTCTGGGTGTACTCCTAATGGGGAAATTTGAGAATGCACCTGGGTGTTCGCTCTTTGATGTACAATTTGCGATGTTAATCCCGTCTGCATTGGTTGTAATGTTTCCGTCTGATACTCGTGATGAAATATTTTGGTGTAATTTAGATGCTGCACGTCATTATCGGATAAGTTCTCATAGAGAATAATTTCGATATTCCGGTCGGGTAGTGGAAAGTGGATTTTATCTGGTATGGTGATATATCCACGAGATCACCTCAAATTCCCAATTTATCTAATATCTTTTCCAAAAGCTGGTATAAACAAATTGATCATCACAGTCTTTTTGTATTTTGAAGTACGGCATTTTTTAGTTAATGTTTTCTGTCCCATAGTAGTGTAGTGGTTTACTTTTAAAAAGAAAACACAATTGCTGAAATATAAATATTTATTATTGTACTTGATTCTGACAATAATTGTTACAGTGTACACCTCTTGTTTATCTGTACTAAAAACTCTCTCGTGCGCCAAGCGTGTGATTCCCATTCTCCTCTTTGTACGTCTCCAGAGTGGAAGTTAGCTGTTTGTAAGCTCTCTTGCCTGGATATCATTTCGATATCGCGAGGCCAGTATCAAATATGGTTGTTCTTCTAGAATCTACTTCTTATTTGATTCTCAGAGTTCGCGGATTAACATTTGTTCTCTCTCGAAGAAGTGTATCCTAAGAATTGCTATAATAGCACAGAATTCTGTAAGGTCAACTGATAGCTTCTTTATGTAGACAATTGCCTTTGGCAGTCTATAAGACTGAAAATTATTTCAAACTAAAGGCTTTGAACAACAACCTTAATTTGGTTGAACCCTTTTATTCAGATTTGTAGAGATAGCAGACCAGTGAGATAGGAGTTTCTAGCGGCCTAAATTTTGTATATTTCACCCGGCTAGACTTAGTTTTCATGTGACAGTTGAGTCCACAGAACGATATCATTTTTCCGGCTTGCGTTTGAATACTTTTGTATAATAAATTAAGCGCAGTATAGCCCTTATCATTTGGGTGCAACCGTATTAAACAGAAAGATATTCCCCTCCTACAATCATCTAACGAAAATGGGCGAAAAGTAAACCAAGACTGATGCATGACCGGAATCAATATTATGGATAAAATCATTCACAACAAAATGATTATTTTGTTACGAACTAGTAGCAATAGGGCACAACCGTCCATTCTAAAATGGACCACGTTCCTTCCTGGTCCTCGCAGTTTTTTAACCTCATTTTCAATGACCTCACCTAACGCTGCATAAATCGTTATCTTCGGACCATTTAGTGGCTACCACGAAATCCTCCTGTATGACAAAGACATGGATAATGATAAACTTCATGGACGTACACTAATAAATTTTGAAAGATATTTGCATGTTTGCCGAGAACGAGTATCGACATGAAACACGGGTTATCTTCAAGTGACTTATCTGAGAAACTGATCTGTGGTAACACTTCAGCGTATATTTTTAGGACCTGTGTTGTTCCCTCCGGGTATATGCACGTTCACAAGGGTTTTCAAGTGCATTTGAAGCATAATCATCGCCAAGATACTGATACATACACAGTGAAAAATTGAGTTGCCAACAATTCAGACACACAATGACCTAGGAATCATCACTATGCAATTCTTGTAAACTGATGCACTTCGCTTATCAGTAATCGCTTAAGGTTTTAGAACCCTATGGTCCAAACGTCGAGGCCTTGGCGGCGACAGTGCCAGAGCATTGGTCGTTCAAAGATAACTAGTCGCAAAGTTGCGGCAAATAACAATTTGTTGAGAGAGTATGGAATTGAGATGGGGAAAATTTGTAGCGCAGGGAGGTGATCGTGATGGAGTTTCGTTCTCTAAGGTGAATGTTTCGGTTGATATAACTACATTTAGTTTTCCACTGTTTGACTGCGTCTGTGAAAACCTGCAAGCTAGCCATTCCATAAGAGCTTCCGGCTGACAAACGTTCTTGAGGTTCCATCTTTTCTTCATGCCATTCCGACATTGAGAAAAGGAATATTTTTTTCAACCTATTGTCTGAAATTTGTCACTTCGTAACATTTATTACCGTCCTTGAAAAAGATTCAAATCTTACTGTCACACAAATTTCCTGCGTACTTCTTAGAGCTATGGAAGCAGCTGATAGTAGTCTTAATTATATTATTTTCCAGACTAGCTATGGAATAGTTTGCTGGCAGTGTACCGTGTCATCTTTTTTCCCATAATATATGTCGGCGAATGAATGATAGAAAAGCGTCGCGATGATAATCACTTTAAGTGAGGTTCTGATAGCCCATTTATGCATTTGTAGATAAAATTGATAATCTATGTGAGTGCGACGTCAGTGGATAACTGCTCGACATGAAGTGGCAAGATAAATTTATCACTGGTATTCAGTCCTTTCATATGAAAAACTCAAAAGTTCCATTTAGAGAATTAGAACCAATCCGCTTTCCTAATAATCCCAGATCTGCCATTAGCTTTGCTATGAAGTCCTCAAATGGTTCGGATATATCAATGATTGAACTGAGAGGTTTGTGTGTTCTTGGCAGACAATCTATCAGCAGTAATATTGATACTCTTTACTTCAATCAATCCCAAGTACATCAAAGGACAAAATGAAAAAGGAAGAAAAACCAAATATCATCTACAAAATAAATTGCTCAGACTTTGAAAAAATCTCTTCAGCTTCGTCTACGTGAACACCAATGAGCAATTAACAAACACATCGAAATTAACACAATTTATCAACCAATCAGACAGATCACAGGCGACAAAAAATCAAGAAACAGATCAAAAGGGGGATGCAATCAAAAAAAGGTGCAAGGTCGGCAGCATCCAATCAAGATCGAGGTTGGCAAAACAAGCTACAGAAATTGAAATACTTTACTTCCATCTGAAGTTTGTGCTGATAATGTTGTTCGGAAGAACAATGAAAGCTTCATAACCGAAATATTCAGCTCAGACAACAAAACACCACCACAATCATCCCCATGAGCTACAAATTTTCTCCACCATCTCAATATCTTCGTTAATTACACGCTCATCTTTCATTATTCCAAGAGTTTTATTCAGTGGCTTCTTGATTATTTTGGTCTAGTCTTTCTCACTGATCTGTTTGGAGAATTCAGAATCACCTGATAATAATTTTATTACGTTCGACATGTTTGTTATCACGTTGCCTTCTATGGATCGATAGGAAAACTCGGTGAATGACGAGAAGTAGGAAACACTTCTGAGGTTTCTGATTGATGGATCACGAAGCTTTTAAGTGTGCTGGCTGAAAAATGCAGAATACATATAAAGGAACCATTCAAAGAAGCTGAATCACTATCGTAAGACAATCGGATAACTCTGGCCATACATTCTCAAAACGGTCGTTTTCGAAAATTGAGCTTAGAAATAAATGGAATGACGGGATCCCACAATTATTCTTACGCGAAAATTCAGATCTTCTAGATTACTGAGACAGTATAGGCAGGGGTTTTATTTAACTATTTCGGCGATGTATTATATGTGAGTGTTGGCAACAACACTTTTCGCAACTACACCATCACACTACCGGTTATTCACGCAGTACATGTGGCTACAGATGTTCTTAAATTTCTCACTAACCTGTAACCCAACATACTGATCTTTCCTGTAAATTGTAATATGTTGTTATCTGAGAATAAATTATTATTGGTCCCGATGAGTTACACCTACGGTTGCTATCATCCTTCGCGAGCAGTGTGTCATAACCACTTATTACGTCGTTCCAAATTCATTTTTCGAAAGTTAATATTTAAATCTGGAGAACGACAATTGGTATGACTGATCTTTCCTATCTTCATACTGATCTAAATGAATTAGTCAGGTGGTCTTGATGTTGAGAGCTAGAAATTAACTCAAGAAATTGGGCTAGTTGACACCAGAGAGCTAACTAGTTACTGACAAAATAATACTGGCAAACATTCATACGTGAGGGAGTAAAAGGAAATATTAGTAACAGTGGGTCATGACGTAAAAATACAGCACACTGCAATTCAGAAGGTGTGGAAGGTTTGTGAGTGCTATGATCACTTCGCCTAGCATTCAAATGCTCTACTGGCGATATATTTCGAGTTTTATATTACATCTATATGAGACATGTAAATAAAGTGCAGAAAATTAGATTGCGATGGTCTTCCCAAAACCTCTTTACAATGCCAAGATGTTTTCCATTTATTGAATGGCATGCATTGACCATTTGGAGGCATTCCGTATTTTGAATAACGATTGAAGCGTTAATGTCCTATTGCTTCTTCCATCGTCTCCGAGATCATGGAAAAAGGTTTCTGGAATCGTGGTTGAGTAAATTCAGAGTGAAATTCTGTTTTTCTCATTGACTGGTCAATGACCAAAGTGCACTATCCGAAAAAGCG